GCAGTGGCGCAATCTCGGCTCACTGCAAGCTCTGCCTCCTGGGTTCACACCATTCTCATGCCTCAGCCTCCCGAGTAGCTGGGACTACAGGCGCCCACCACCAAGCCCGGCTAATTTTTTTGTATTTTTAATAGAGACAGGGTTTCACCGTGTTAGCCAGGATGATCTTGATCTCCTGACCTTGTGATCCACCCGTCTCGGCCTCCCAAAGTGCTGGGATTACAGGCGTGAGCCACCGTGCCCGGCCTGGTACAGCTTTTCTGCTGGGCAGTTTGGCAGCATGCATTGCAACTTAAAATATGCATACACTTTGACCCAGCAGTTTCACATCTAGGGATTCCTTTTAGAGATCTGTGTGGAGGGTTATTTGACACAGAGTCGTTAATTGTGCAAAATTAAATGAAACAAATATTCCCTGGTGTCAATAGTACTTAAACATCTTTATGCATGTATGGTGGAATATTTCAAGGTACTTGTTAATCTAAATTGACTGGGATGATGTCCATGACACATGTTTGAGTAACAAATTATAGACAGGCAGGGTATATAACGGAAACCCCTGGTATTAAAATGTGTCTCTCACTGTGGGTTTCTGTGCACATAAGTGAGAACCTGGAATAATGGTACCCTAAAATCATCAATATCTTACCCATGCTTATCCTTGGATGATGAACTCAGGGTTATTTTGACTTTCTTTTATATTTCTGTATATACATCTGTGTGCATGTGTATGAGTTCAAAGTGAGCATATATCATTTTTAAAATTGGAAACCTTTAAGTGTGAATTTCCAAGAAGGGGAACGTACAGAATGTTGCAGGAATATGTGGTAGGTAGGGAGTTGGGAGCAAGGACCTATGTAGGATACCCGCTAAAGGCATCTCTACTCCTTTACATGAGTGCAGAACCCTGTTGCAAAGGAGAGGAAAGCTTTGCCCATGCTTTCGAGGAGAGCCATGACCTTGAGGTAGCTTGAGTGGGTGGCTGTGATCAAATGAACTGGGTGGGGCTGACCCAGTTCTGTTTTTGTACCTGGTACAGCTGCACCCTTTTTGCATATATCTGCCTCGCTCTCTAAAGCAAGGTCATGCATGGGCTTCCTCTCTTTACCAGTCATTTCCCCTCCTAGTACATTTTGTCCAAGGCATGGTCTGTCTGTAACCTTGTCTCATTGGTGGTCAGGTAGAATTGGGTTGGCTCAGCCTAAATCCAATCTTATAAAACCAAAGACTTTGAGTTAATTCAGATCATCTTAGAAGATACACGGCTGCTGTTTTTTATACGCTTGATTGTAAAGTTCCTGGGATTTTGTTTCCTTTTTTTTTTTTTTTTTGAGACAGGGTCTTGCTGTGTCGCCTGGGCTGGAAGTACAGTGGCACGATCTCAGCTCACTGCAGGCTCAACTTTGTTCCTGGGGTTTCTACTTTGTCTTTTTCCGTTCTCTATTTCTCAAGGTCATGGACTGTGTGCTTTTAAATTTTTTTCTTGTGATCCTTTTCATTGCTTAATTCAGTAATATAGGTGGCATTTAGTAAACATTGACAAAATGATGAAATAAGTAAGGTCAAGGATGGGCCTCTTTACAAATGACTTTTTTTTTTTTGTCTTTTTTAAAAAAGCAGAACTGGTTCTTCCCAGAGAGAGGAAAGCAGAACTGCTTTGCATTGCTGTAGGGTGTTGGAGGTGCTGCAGGTGGATCCTCCCCGGGCTAGAAGTAGAGTACCCTCTGTTCCCTCTCTTGCCAGTTTTTGTCCCTTGTAGCAGAGGGACTGCTGTGGATGTGGAGCGGAGCAAAGGCTTTTCCAGCCTTCTTTACTTTTATATTTTTTGAGACGGAGTCTCCCTCTTGCATAAGCTGGAGTGCAGTGGCGTGATCTCAGCTTACTGCAGCCTGCACCTCCTGGGTTCAAGCAGTTCTCTACCGCAGCCTCCCGAGTAGCTGGGATTACAGGTGCCCACCACCAAGCCCGGCTAATTTTTTTGTATTTTTAATAGAGACAGGGTTTCACCGTGTTAGCCAGGATGATCTTGATCTCCTGACCTTGTGATCCACCCGTCTCGGCCTCCCAAAGTGCTGGGATTACAGGCGTGAGCCACCGTGCCCGGCCTGGTACAGCTTTTCTGCTGGGCAGTTTGGCAGCATGCATTGCAACTTAAAATATGCATACACTTTGACCCAGCAGTTTCACATCTAGGGATTCCTTTTAGAGATCTGTGTGGAGGGTTATTTGACACAGAGTCGTTAATTGTGCAAAATTAAATGAAACAAATATTCCCTGGTGTCAATAGTACTTAAACATCTTTATGCATGTATGGTGGAATATTTCAAGGTACTTGTTAATCTAAATTGACTGGGATGATGTCCATGACACATGTTTGAGTAACAAATTATAGACAGGCAGGGTATATAACGGAAACCCCTGGTATTAAAATGTGTCTCTCACTGTGGGTTTCTGTGCACATAAGTGAGAACCTGGAATAATGGTACCCTAAAATCATCAATATCTTACCCATGCTTATCCTTGGATGATGAACTCAGGGTTATTTTGACTTTCTTTTATATTTCTGTATATACATCTGTGTGCATGTGTATGAGTTCAAAGTGAGCATATATCATTTTTAAAATTGGAAACCTTTAAGTGTGAATTTCCAAGAAGGGGAACGTACAGAATGTTGCAGGAATATGTGGTAGGTAGGGAGTTGGGAGCAAGGACCTATGTAGGATACCCGCTAAAGGCATCTCTACTCCTTTACATGAGTGCAGAACCCTGTTGCAAAGGAGAGGAAAGCTTTGCCCATGCTTTCGAGGAGAGCCATGACCTTGAGGTAGCTTGAGTGGGTGGCTGTGATCAAATGAACTGGGTGGGGCTGACCCAGTTCTGTTTTTGTACCTGGTACAGCTGCACCCTTTTTGCATATATCTGCCTCGCTCTCTAAAGCAAGGTCATGCATGGGCTTCCTCTCTTTACCAGTCATTTCCCCTCCTAGTACATTTTGTCCAAGGCATGGTCTGTCTGTAACCTTGTCTCATTGGTGGTCAGGTAGAATTGGGTTGGCTCAGCCTAAATCCAATCTTATAAAACCAAAGACTTTGAGTTAATTCAGATCATCTTAGAAGATACACGGCTGCTGTTTTTTATACGCTTGATTGTAAAGTTCCTGGGATTTTGTTTCCTTTTTTTTTTTTTTTTGAGACAGGGTCTTGCTGTGTCGCCTGGGCTGGAAGTACAGTGGCACGATCTCAGCTCACTGCAGGCTCAACTTTGTTCCTGGGGTTTCTACTTTGTCTTTTTCCGTTCTCTATTTCTCAACGTCATGGACTGTGTGCTTTTAAATTTTTTTCTTGTGATCCTTTTCATTGCTTAATTCAGTAATATAGGTGGCATTTAGTAAACATTGACAAAATGATGAAATAAGTAAGGTCAAGGATGGGCCTCTTTACAAATGACTTTTTTTTTTTTGTCTTTTTTAAAAAAGCAGAACTGGTTCTTCCCAGAGAGAGGAAAGCAGAACTGCTTTGCATTGCTGTAGGGTGTTGGAGGTGCTGCAGGTGGATCCTCCCCGGGCTAGAAGTAGAGTACCCTCTGTTCCCTCTCTTGCCAGTTTTTGTCCCTTGTAGCAGAGGGACTGCTGTGGATGTGGAGCGGAGCAAAGGCTTTTCCAGCCTTCTTTACTTTTATATTTTTTGAGACGGAGTCTCCCTCTTGCATAAGCTGGAGTGCAGTGGCGTGATCTCAGCTTACTGCAGCCTGCACCTCCTGGGTTCAAGCAGTTCTCTACCGCAGCCTCCCGAGTAGCTGGGATTACAGGTGCCCGCCATCGTGCCCGGCTAATTTTTGTATTTTTAGTAGAGATGGGGTTTCACCGTCTTGGCCAGGCTGGTCTTGAACTCCTGACCTTGTAATCCACCTGCCTTGGCCTCTGAAAGTGCTGTGATTACAGGCGTGAGCCACCGCACCCGGCCTTTCCTGCCTTCTTTAAACCAGCCTGTGCTGTAGACACTGAGGACACCTTTTTGTTTAGCTGACCCCTGGGCCCTGTCGGTGAAGTCTTTGAGTTTGACACTGAACTGTGGCGAAACTTTGAGAACACCCGGGATATCATGACTTGACCATCACCCTCTAGAATGGAATGTTTTTAGTCATGTTTTCTTGGTTTGTTGAAAGTTTGAGGGAAACCTGTGAACAATAAAATCCTGTTTCAATTGTACATGAGCTGGGACAAGTGGTAAAGAGGTCAGCAGATCTTTCTTCTGCTCTGTCACCTTAGGCCTTGTCTTTGAAAGCTGGACTGCTGGCTGCCGTGGCTTCTGACACCAGCTTGAATGAACTTGCAATAATGACATAAATGTGTCATGGTGTGCCGTCACTGAAAAAGTACACTTGGCCAGGCTCAGTGGCTCATGCCTGTAATCCCAGCACGTTGGGAGGCCGAGGCAGGCAGATCATGAGGTCAGGAGATCAAGACCATCCTGGCTAATATGGTGAAACCCCGTCTCTACTAAACATGCAAAAAATTAGCCAGGCGTGGTGGTGGGCGCCTGTAGTCCCAGCTACTCAGGAGGCTGAGGCAGGAGAATGGCGTAACCCAGGAGGCAGAGCTTGCATTGAGCCGAGATCACACTACTGCACTCCAGCCTGGGCGACAGAGTGAGACTCCGTCTCAAAAAAAAAAAAAAAATATATATATATATATATATAGTCACCATATTAAATGATCATGTAGCCTTAAACCGCCTAGATTTTCCAATTAAATTAAACTACTCATTATCTCTTATTATGCGACCAATAAAGTGTGCAGTTGTGGCTTACTTTGCAAGTGGGATTAATATCTACTGTTTATCTCAAGATAAGTATTAGTAACATAACCTGGGGAAACCTTTTTATGCACCTTTCCAGAGCAAGGGAGGGAGAGGAGGACTAAAGTGTTAGAGGTATGAAGTTTTACCTTTCTAAACTGATTGTGAAGTATTCTAAACATTTGTATGGCTTTGTCTTTATAGACTGAAATCGCCAAGAGATTGAATACGATTTGTGCACAAGTCATCCCATTTCTGTCTCAGGAAGTAAGTAAAACTGTTCAGCTGTTAAAGTGCAATTATGTTGCTTCTCTGTTTGCAAATTAGCTAGTTTTAAGATGTTAATTTTATCACAAGGAACAAGTGTGAAGAACATCTGTTACAGCTGAAGTGTGTAAACCCCCTGCTAGTCTATCCAGCACATCTGAGGGCACACTGTGGAAATGGTGACAATAGCTCAACCTCCAAATTAATTTTTTTTTTCCTCTGGAAAACTGCAAAATGACTATCCAATGTATAGTTTTGCTTTCTTTTTTTTTTTTCTGAGACGGAGTCTCGCCCTGTCGCCCAGGCTGGAGTGCAGTGGCCAGATCTCAGCTCACTGCAAGCTCCGCCCCCCGGGTTCATGCCATTCTCCTGCCTCAGCCTCCCGAGTAGCTGGGACTACAGGCGCCCACCACCTCACCCGGCTAGTTTTTTGTATTTTTAGTAGAGATGGGGTTTCCCCATGTTAGCCAGGATGGTCTCGATCTCCTGATCTCGTGATCCGCCCGTCTCGGCCTCCCAAAGTGCTGGGATTATAGGCGTGAGCCACCGCGCCTGGCCGGTTTTGCTTTCTTTAAGTAGCATAAACTTGAGAGCTACTGAAAATTCAGGTGTCCTTTTTATCTTTTAAATAGAAAGCTGTTCTCATACTGACTTTTAAAAATGGTTCCATCAAGGTAGACTTTACTAGGGAAGCAGGTAGTTCTTTTGTACTTACGTATCAAGGCAGTTGTCTTAATACTGTCCTTGAAGGGGCGGATGATAATAGTCCAAAATACATTAACTTACTGAGTCATATGCATGTGTAAGCTATTTTGTTTAGTTACAAAGTCATAGAAGTTTAATCTTAACATTCTTTGAGGGGGGAAATCTCTTATGAGTAATCTGTGAAATTGACTCAGGACTATTGTATTTTAGCTTTGCCTTGAAAAGTTTACCTTCCTTTTGGATATAAGCTAGTAAATGCTGTAATGTGTTCTAAGTGTGCATGGGATGAATGTGTCTTCACACAGGGTGGAAAGCTTATTGGCCCGGGAGTTGGAATACTGGGTATCCTGGTTGGCATCTGTTGCTCCATGCTGGATGGTCACCATCTCGTTATTGTTGTAACAGCCTCTTCCAGTATAACCTTTGTCTGTCTGACATGACAGTAGATTTGTCTGCCGTCTGAATGTATTAGTAGTTGTTAGACTTCAGTGATCCAGGGCTCTATGTTACATTCTCATGCCTCCCAAAGTAAATGTATGGCTTTGTTTTTATTTGTGGGTGGAGTTGGGAGTTGGGAGGTGTGGGGTGAGTTTCCATCTCTGAACTGAGGCTGGAGTCCTTCCTTTGCCTTGTGGAGGGTGAAGAATCAAAAGGCTGTAAAAGAGTGAGAGGAATTCCAGGAGTTTCCGAAAATGACTGGGGGGGTCAAGATTGATTGATAGATAAGTGATCAACAGATTTAATGTTAAAGTTTTAGGTATTAAAATGGGTATTTTATTTGTTTATTTTAAAAATAGAGGTTTCACCATGTTGCCCACGCTGGTCTTGAACTCCTGGGCTCACCCCGTCTTGGCGTCCCAAAGTGCTGGGATTACAGGCATGAGCCACTGCGCCTGGCTGTAAAATGAATATTTTAAAATTGCTGTAAACTTATGGCCAAACTTATCATGGTGAACCTCTTCTGTGAAGAAGGACGATCTTCCAAATTCTGTTCTATTTATTTTTTAAGGTCCTATGTTATCATTCTTTATGTCCTTTTTTGTTTTCTACCATTCCAAGCCAAAATTTGCAGCCAGAAGTAGTGACTGGTGTTGTTTAGAAATAAAGGGCACTGCCATTCTCAGTTTTTCCCTGTGTTCTCTGAAAATAACGTGTGGTTGAGAAATTCCGCGTTTAAACCCCTCTACTTCAGCCTGCATTGCGCACAGCATTTGACTTTTTGTTGTTAGAATATACAATGAAGTTCTTGGCTGTTGCTAATGCCCTTTCTTCTCCTTGTTTTCAAAGCATCAACAACAGGTGGCCCAGGCTGTCGAACGTGCCAAACAGGTGACCATGGCAGAGTTGAATGCCATCATCGGGGTACGTGGCCTACCAGGTCTACCTCCTACAGTGTGTATAACCAGCTTTCATTTCTTATTAATTTGATGGCTTTATATATATATGTGTGTGTGTGTGTGTGTGTGTGTGTGTATTTGTGTAGCTTAACCTATTTGATAAGGGTGGGAGGAAGAGACTTGGGGTGTGCTAAGGTATATGGAGGAAGAGGGCTTAGCATAAGGAAGATGACAGGAGAAACATTTTAGGAGGGGACAAAAAATAAATCTATTAATTAAAAACATTCTTTTTAAACAGACTGGGGTCTTGATATTTTGTCTAGTCTGGCCTGGAACTCAAGTGATCCTCCTGCCTTAGCCTCCTGAGTAGCTGGGTCCGAGGGCAGGCACCCCCTTGCCCGTCCTTAAATCTACTTTTAAGTGGTAAAATAAATGTAGTTCATCCTGTGACACCTAAACCACCCTTGCTTCATTAGTCTAGTAAAAGCTTTAGGTTAGAATTTTAAATACTTTCCTCACTTCTCTCTTACAATGTGAGATCACAGTGAGGTCAAAATGGGTCTCTGAATTATCGTTTCATTTAGTTATCCTTGCTTTTTGCCTTTTGCTTTCTGGGGTATTCGAACCTACATAACTGTTGGCTCTTGTTCTTTCTTGCGCCTCTTTCATGAATTTTTAAGTGACAAACCAATGAAAAGAGCTCTCTCTTGCTGTGGAAGAAGTGTTAATTGTTTGCCCTAGTGCTCCCTGGCCTTTCACCCGGGTTCTGCTCTCCTCTGTTGAGTTCAGTTAGTGCTCCGTGCTGGCCACTGGTTGTCAATCACAAGTCATTTGCTCTGCATTAATGAATCTGGTGAACCGTGCATTCCATCCCCTGCATGAGTTCATCCCCTGCCCCCCACTGCAGGACCTGGGACGGTTCTCATGTGTTCTTCCCCTTCCAGACTAAGCCAAAGAAGGAGCTGAAACAAGAGACCATCCTTTCTGATTTTATTCATATGTGAGTGCCTTGAGCAGATTCAAATCACTCATTTATCAATTTATGTTAATTGCTTGTGAGATGATGCCCTGCTGGTCTTTATAGTTCCCTCAGACACTTTGTAATGATAATTAGACATGCTGCTGTACGGATTAAGAGTGCCATAGTCCAATGACGGCCACAGACAATGGAACCAGTTAATCCATCAGAGCTTAAAATTACATCCCAACTGGAGATGGAGAAAAAACATAAGAGCCAAGGAGGATTAAAGAACGAGCCTCAGCTTGAAAACTCTCCTTTCATCAGTTTCTCAATTGCAGATCTGCAGTTGGGTTGTCTGTGGTAAGCTATTGGCAGTCAATTAGGTGAAATAAACTAGGAGGGTGACCTTCATTTCCTTTTAATAGCTTTTTCCTCCCTGAAATGGGGAGCTTCAGTGGATTTTCAGCTTAAATTTTATTCAAGCTGCTTTATTACACTTGACAGCTTAGCTCTGCATAAACAATTCTCCCTCCTTTTCCCCCCAGATCCAGGCACTGCCTTCCCCCTCCTTCAGTATCACATTTTTGACTGTTACTTAGTGGGCTCTCTAATCACATTCAACAAAAAACACAATTACATCTGCATTTGTCTGCTGCCTTCTGTACCCTTTTCTTGTGTAATGAATTGCTTTATTTCAGAGATCAAATCAAATATTCACTGGTACTTTCGCATGTACTGTGTTTGATTAGCAAAGACTAATAGTGAATTGTACTTGTAGCTCAAGCACAGAATTTTTTCACCCAAATGAATGAGGATGGAAAAGCCTGTTTTGATTAAAGGAAAACATATGCAAAGCAGTTCTCAAGTACCCAGTTAAACTTTGTGGAACATGTTTGTTTTCTGATAGACTCTAAATTTCGACATATAATTTCTTGATGGTAAAACTCTGATGTTTACATTCTCAAAGGCACCGCCCAGCTCTCGTGAATCTCCTTCGCACCTACACTTTAGGAAGGAGGAAATCGTATTAACCAGATGTTCATAGGTAATACCCAGTTTGAGCTGAATCGGAGAATAAAAATAGCAGATCTTTTTCGAAGGGCAAATGAATTTCTAATTTTACAAATGGCTTTAGTCCAGGAAAAATGTTGTGGAGGTTATTATAAAGGCAGGTTAGCTCTGGGTGCCTTGGCAACAATAAACCAAAGTGGTGAATCAGGCGCAATGCAAACGAGACTTAACACCCATTGCGTGTCTTGGGCATACTGGCGTGTGCGGTTTTTATCATTGTAATTTTTGGATTAGTATATGAATTTATGTCAGAAGGCTCTTTTCAAGTTTGTAGTGATCAATAATTATCCCACACCTTAAGTTTCATGCTGTGGCATATGCTTGATTTTTGCTTGAAAGGAATTGTGTGCGTCCTGGAAAATCGAAGTAGCATAAAATTGGGTTGACAATTCAGTGGACCTTTGCACCCCTTCATTGAACATGCAGTGTGTCAACCTGTCTCCCCAGAGGGGAGGAGGTACCGGGAGACTGTCTGTTCCTACAAGCAGCAGCTGCACAGAGTAAATGCAGCCTGGTTTGATAGCAGCTGTCAGTATTGTTCAGGGGCCGACTTAGGGTAAAGAACAATGGGAGAGGCCACGCTCTTAGTCTGCATCCACTTTCAGGCTAAGAAAAGAAATAGTAATTTAACGGTTTAGACATCTATTACAAGTGTGAAAGATCATGAAAGAGTACCCTTTAAAATGCAAATGAGCCGAAACATTCTCATTCCCTTTAAGGTACAATCAAGGAGCTTGACTGCTTGCTTGACAGGGCTAAAGATATTTCTTCTTATCAAACCTGGAAAAAGTAAATCTTCTCAAGGACATCCACCTTCTAGGTTAGTTCGAGGTGTGTCTTGGTCCTGCGGGTGCTCTTTGAGGAGGCAGAGAGAGGTTATATTTTGTCTGTGCTTGTTGAGGGAATTAGCAGAGTCCCCATTTCTCACCAGCATAGAAATTGTAGGTCTCCTGTCTGGCAGAAAATACTGAATTTTAATTCTTTCTCACCGTAGCACCTGCCTTCAACTTACATAGAGTATCGGTATTTAAGAAAAATAAGCTTCTTAGATATTTGATACTGGAGAGACTATTGAAATATTTCTGTAGACCTTTTTTTAAACAGCTTTGACAGCAAATCTGGTGACTGGCAGAATAATAACTACGGTCCTACTTTTTGAATTTTGCTTCTTACCAATTCTTTTGCTATTAAATGTGTTGTAGTCTTGTCACAATGAAAAGGCTAATTTATTGTGCAAAGGTGTACAAAATTTGTACGAGGTTTATTTGGTTTGACACATAGCTCACTTAGGCCTTAGCAAACAAGTCGCATTGTGAGAAGGGAACTTACTTATTTGAGACCTTGAGTTTTTAGATCAGGATCGTTGTTAAACCATAAGCAACATTTTTGTTTGTTTTTTAAAATTTCTACTAAGAATGGTCAAAACAAAATTGGTTATTAAACGTTGTAACATCTTATTTGTGGAATGGCTAATGGCTGCCTGAATGCAGGAAGAATTGATAGAAAGACTCTTCAAGACCACTTCTCCACTTTGTTATTTGGGGAGTTTGCAACTAAAAGCTCTCTTCTACCTGCTCTGATAGGTACTGAATAATTGATTTCAGTTGGGATTGGGATTTCAAATATTTAGTGTTCTCTTAACATCACAGATAATCGAGGGATAATATAGAGAGATACATATCTGTACACACATAGATTTTTTTTTTTTTTTTTTGACGGAGTCTCACTCTGTCACCCAGGCTGGAGTGTGGAGTGCAGTGGCCAGATCTCAGCTCGCTGCAAGCTCCGCCTTTCGGGTTCACACCATTCTCCTGCCTCAGCCTCCCGAGTAGCTGGGACTACAGGCGCCCGCCACCTCGCCCGGCTAGTTTTCTGTATTTTTTAGTAGAGACGGGGTTTCACCGGGTTAGCCAGGATGGTCTCGATCTCGTGACCTTGTGATCTGCCCGTCTCAGCCTCCCAAAGTGCTGGGATTACAGGCTTGAGCCACCGCGCCCGGCCTAGATTTGTTTTTTTCAGTTGATGTCTAATTGTAATATAGTGAAATGCACAGCTTGATTTTTGACACCTATGTATACCCGGTAACCCACATTCCACAGTAAGGGGGTGGTTTCCAGAACCCCAGTGGATTCCATTATTCTTACCAGTTTTTCCCCTTCTCCTAATGAAAGATAGTTGCTTTTTTTTTTCTTTCTTTCTTTCTTTTGGCATGTGAAAGAAGAGCTAAAGATGGTTGGGGGTTTTTTTGGAGACAGAGTTTTACTCTGTAACTCAGGCTGGAGTGCAGTGGCGTGATCTCTGCTCACTGCAACCTCTGCCTCCCATGTTCAAGCAATTCTTCTGCCTCAGCCTCCCGAGTAGCTGGGATTACAGGCATGCGCCGCCAAGCCCAGCTGATTTTTGTATTTTTAGTAGAGACAGGGTTTCACCATGTTGGCCAGGCTGGTCTTGAACTCCCAAACTCAGGTGATCCACCTGCCTCAGCCTCCTAAAGTGTTGGGATTACAGGTATGGGCCACCGTACCTGGCCATAAAGATGGTGGTTTTTTTAACTGAAAAGTTAAAAAAGAATCAGTCAATTACATTTAAAAAAATATTAATAGTAAACAATGGCACAGTTGTATGTTTTATTTCTAACCACCTGTTGTTCCATTTCATGGTGTTTTTGGTAATCCACATAAGAATATTTGCACTGTGTTGCCTTGGACAAAGCATGGGCCTTGGGATCAGATGGACTTGGGGAGGATGCTTAGCTGCCGTCTATTAGCTTTATGACCTCATATAGTCAGTTAACCTCTACAATGTCCCCCATCCGTGGATGGTAATACCGTCTCTACCTTCCCTGCTTTTGTGGGGATAAGACCCTGGCTGGCAGTCTTCAATGAACATGTGATCCTGACCCCTTGAACTGCAGTTTTGTCTGCCTGGTTTTCCTAAGTGCTTGTAGCAGATCCGTAGGTCCAGTTGGTCAAGCCCTGCTCGGGGATGGTTGTGCCAAGCAGCAGTTCACCCCTTTGTCTTGT